CGTAAGAACATGGCACCGACATCCGTCCATACTGCTACATCATGGCTGGTTAGTGTTAGCTGTTCATTAGCAGGTTAGGAGCCGTTAGTTCAGCAAATCATAAGAATAAATAAAGATTGAAATCATAAAATCATAGTTTATTTTCATTTATTACCTATCTGGATGCTGACAGTAGCTTTGGGATATCAGTGCAATGTGCCATCAATTCAGTCACGCATTCGATATTATCGGCAGTTCAAGAACACGCTGCTTTTCACTGGTGGTTTATCAGGTGATGGTGCCGCGGGTTATACTGAAAATCTCCTCTGACTTGCTTCCATAGTAATGGAAGCAATACAATCATGTACGTGTAGTCAAGACTGAAAGAGGATCATGTCCCTTGAAAGCAAGAAGTTGGGCTGAGACGACTCCCAGTTTACTGTGCACGACTGTAATGCAGCGACTAACATACCCCCTCCCCGCAAAGCAGTGACTATTACCCCCCCCCCAGGGGCGTCGCACACGGTACGGTCACTACGGTATTGACCGTACCACTATTTGCCCAAAGTACCCCGTAAATCAATAAAATGCACTGATTTGGGCTCTAAATTTCCAATATTTTCGGCTCAGCCACCCCTCCCCCACGAGTAAATTGTGCTTTCAGATGGCTGACCGTACCACACTAAAATGCCTCCCGACGCCCCTGCCCCCCCCCCTCCCAAAAACAGAGCAGACCACCCCCCCCCCCCCTTTCCCCAAAGCAGTGACCCCCCCCCCCCCCCCAAAGCAGGGACTATTACCCCACAAAGCAGAGCAATGCCCATCATCCCCCTCCTCCGCAAAGCAGTGCTGCAACCAGTCTTCCAATGATAAGGACCACCCATTCCTAGCTACATTGACATGAGTATAAATATAAACGCATGCACACAAATCCAACGTTACTTACCGAGACGACTGCGATGGTATGCGGCACTGGGCTCCGTGAGCAGTGCTCCTCTCACGGACAAATTGGATGATAGCGGTGTGCTTTCTCCTCCCAAGGAGGGGCTGGTAGCAAAGGGAAAGGGCAGACACTTTGTCCTTTTTCGACCATGCTTGTGGACGAATCACAATGCGGTGGAAGAAGCTTCAGTGCTTTCCAGAGTTTCCTACAGCAAATAGACCGGACAGAGCAGAGAGAAGCTACTGTATAAGTAACACGGGCTAGAGTAGAAGAGAGCACTACATTAGCCAGTGCAGGCTAAATTCTATTTTTCAAGGAAACCCTTCCGGAAAGGTATCAATCGATTCAGTATGCCATTTTCATTCGTCCTGCCAAGCTTCAGCTGATTTGGAGTCATGACAAGGACGCTATGGCGATTTGAAGATCGAAAAACCTCAGTTGTGTTTGTCACGAAGAAAGGCCATGATTGCACACAAACGGTACAGCCGGTGTGGCACAATGAAGTCCTCCACGGACCCCTTGCTCTGCGCACGCACGCATGCACACAAGTGCTGCAAAGGGGTCTTTTTGAACGCAGATAAGTTTTTTTTTTGATTTTTTCACTTTTCGTACATTTTTCGATAGCATGAGCCATGCACGATTTCCGAGATCGTCAAGGCAAAATAATACTTTGTAGCACTACCTGTTCTTCCCTTAGCCCTTACTCTGGGCCTTGGACAGATAATAAACTTAGGAAGATACTTCCTGTGTGAATACTAATCAAGTTAATGCAGTACAAGGCGTGAAACAATACGAGATGGAAAGAGAGCCGAGATTGGAGAATATTATCTTCTCAACATTCATTGGTTAGAGGGAATGATGCAAACGGGAAAAGTTTGAAGAAACAATTGACTATAACCACCAGAACTCGAACCAGGGACCCTCGCTTATGGTCAGCAATGCTCTAGCCACTGATCTATGGTGTAGTCGTCATGCAAGCAGCGATCATCTTCTCAATATTATTCACTCGTTGAGGGAATGGAAATGGAAAGTCTGAAGAAAATTTGACTGTCACCACCAGGACTCGAACGAGAAAAGTCTGAAGAGAAAATTGACTGTCACCAACAGGACTCGAACCATGGACCTTTGCTTGAGACCAGTGATGCTCTAACCACTGAGCTATGGTGCAGCTGTCACACAACGCTCTCTAAGCTGCAATTCCTGGCAGAGAGTGCTTCTCCAAGTTCTCTCACCACCATCATCTGTTCATGCATGGCGCCTAGTCGATGCATGGCTGGTGACATCAACATAGCTGGCTGTTACATCAGTTAGTGCATAAGCGATGACACAGCGACGATTTGGCTCGGATTGCGATGTATGTTTCACCCCTCCCAGACTCCTCAGTCATTCATGAACATCTTCAGGTGAAGCTTGATGTAGTAGGATTAAAGGGGAAGTTAAGGCAAAAATTAAAATTTCACCAGTTGTAGTCTTCGGGGTGCTGAGTCGAATGGTCGTGGTCCGAGGAAGCTGAGACGCTCCCTTCCTACTTGAATCCCAATCGAACTCGCGCACTTCCACCCAAACTGGGTGACTGCGCCCTACTAGATGGGGATTTGTATGCAAAATGTCACTAAAAGCGCCCTTTCGTTCTTATAAAAGCACGGATGACCGCGGTTGGCCCATATGTTGTAGTCTTTTGGACGCTCAGTCGACTGGTTTTGGTCCGAAAAGGCTGCGATGCAGCGTTCCTCCTTTATTCCCAATCGAACATGGTTGAACAAGCGGTCACGTGCTCCTGGGTGCCCAAATCACCTGGTCACCACGCCAGCAGGTGACAACTTTCACACCAAGGTTCAACTCGAGTTCAACTCGAGTGACAGGACTGCACCCAAAAAAGGTCAAACAGACTAGTAAGTTGTACCCTGCAGGCACGGTGACCAGGTGACTGGTGCACGCAGGAGCACGTGACCGCTTCTTCAACCATGTTCGATTGGGAATAAAGGAGGAACGCCGCATCGCAGCCCTTTCGGACCAAAACCAATTGACTCAGCGTCCAAAAGACTACAACATATGGGCCAATCGCGGTCATCCGTGCTTTTATAAGAACAAAATGGCGCCTTTAGTGACATTTTGCATACAAATCCCCATCTAGTAGGGCGCAGTCACCCAGTTTGGGTGGAAGTGCGCGAGTTCGATTGGGATTCAAGTAGGAAGGGAGCGTCTCAGCTTCCTCGGACCACGACCATTCAACTCAGCACCCCGAAGACTACAACTGGTGAAATTTTCATTTTTGCCTTAACTTCCCCTTTAAGACTCCTACGCAGCATCATTATGGAAGAGAAATTACCTGGCGAAATGGTGGTGAGTACACGCCTGCCCCTGCAGCACTCTCTAAGCTACAACGGTCTGGCAACCATTGTAGCTTAGAGAGCTTTGAGTGGGTATGCGTGTATTTACCACCATTTCGCCAGGTAATTTCTCTTCCATAATGATGCTGCGTAGGAGTCTTAATCCTACTACATCAAGCTTCACCTGAAGACGTTCATGAATGACTGAGGAGTCTGGGAGGGGCGAAACATACATCGCAATCCGAGCCAAATCGTCGCTGTGTCATCGCTTATGCACTAACTGATGTAACAGCCAGCTATGTTGATGTCACCAGCCATGCATCGACTAGGTGCCATGTTTGATGTTCCTGGTCACTGCGGAACCATGCCACCATCATCGTCATTCAGCATGTCGTCCGAATCCGACAGTGCTACATGGTGTGCTGAGGCTGGTGAGAGCTCAAGGAGACGCAGCAGATTCGCTTTCAGCTCGGCGATGGAGAATGGCTTGCCGGCTTTCGAGAAGGCAAACAGTGTGTGCGGCGCTTGCTGGACGAGGATTTTCTTCCTGAACTTCAGCTGACACTTCAGAGCGTCTACCTTCGCCTTGTTTGCAGGAAGCTCAGCCAGTCCCTCAGCTATTCCATCTCCGGTCGTCCAGAGCTCACCAGGAATCCTGGCAAGCTGCTGTGTGATGGTCTCCGCCTCCGCCACTCGCCGTTGCTCTCTGCTGGTGGGCCTGCTGCTTGGCTTGCACAGTCTTCAGTCGATACTCGTTGATGGCAGACAGCCTGGCTTTCTGGAGCCTCTTGTGTTCTGGAACCAGCTGCCTGGCAACTTCGAGTATCGCTGATTGCTCCTCTGGTGTGCGGAAGCTCAACCAATCGAGGGGGCGATTGTTCGCGAGCATAATCTGTGCCTCGATAGCCAGCATGGAAGCATTCGGCTTGCTCCTCAGCAGACGGTCTAGCTGGCCGAAGTCCCGCTCGGACACGACGTTGGTTTTCGGGACTGTTGCAGTCTGCTCTGGATCCGGTGCACCCTGCTCATACTGCACTTCCCATACTCTGTGGAGATACGTGTTCCATGCTACGGCGAGCAGCTGCAACAGTCCCTTGACCAAAGCGTCGTCTTGCGTTGGCTCTAGCAGCTTGTCGAGAACAACGTCCGGCTGTGTTATAGTGGCTGCTGCAAATGGCTTCGCAGTGCCGTCCACGAGCTCACTTGCATCCTCCGACCATCTTGCCAGTTGCGTCTCGACTTCCTGGTACACACTCTGGACAGAGGTGAATGGTGCGTCTGATTCCAGGAATCGCCACATTGGAGCAGTGACAAATTTGCCGAAAAGCCCTACAGCCCGGCAGCCAGTGACAAATCGTGGGTCGAGGAGGTCCTCTTTGACAGCAGAAAGCAACCGGTTGCCACAACTAAATGCCAGGTAAGCAGTCATTGTCTCAGCAAGGAAGTAGATTCCAGCAGCGTTGTGGAAAATGATGTTAAACCTGTTGCCCCTGAACTTGGCAAGCGGGATGTGAGTGAGCCCGTTGGTAGTGGCGAAGGCTTGGAAGCCAGCAGCTTCTCCAACTTGCTCACTCCCATGGCGCTCGAATGCCTTACACGCAGTTCTGATCAGGCGGTACGTGCCACATTCGTTTGGCTGGTTAGCGCCTGGGCAACTTGCCGAACTCCCACTCTGTGTTGCCTCCCACTCCTTAATCACGGCACCAGAGTGATCTGCCAGGTTGACCAGTAGATGTAAGCTGCAGAAGAAGTTATTGAGTTAACATGTTTCTTTCTTCTGGGTTTCGGTGAGGGTGTCCCAATCCTGCTGTATCACGGGCAGCACCGAAGAGCGGTATTCCTGAGGTATGACAGAAAATCAAACGAACAGGAGTGGTCAACATCACATGACCATTGCCTTCTATATTGGATACTTCATGCTTCATAGTAGGCTCATAAGGAAGGGTAGACAGATAGACACTGTGTGTGTGTCTGTGCATGTGTGTCTATGTGTATGTGTGTCTGTACCTGTGTGTGTGTGTGTGTGTGTGTATGTGTGTGCGTGTGTGGTTTGTACATGTGTTTGGCAACAATAATACTTTGCTGTGCAGATTGCATTTTAATATGAAAAGAAAAGTGGAACAATTGTGTAGACATACCTGAAGCATGTTGTTGAATTTTGTGTTCACTGCAGCTCTGTCAGACATCGTGTTTTTGAGGGCAGCGATCAGACGGTTACCGGACTGTGCATCACCGAGCTTCTCGCCTGCGGCTCCCAACTGGCCAATAGTGTGGTGCAGTAGTTCCATGGTGTGCTCAGCGCTGCCGGACAGTGCCCCAGACACGGCCAGCGTGAACTGCCCGTCATCAGTTGTCAGCTGAAAGCTTCCATACTTGTGACCATGCTTGGTTGTACCGTCAAAGTGCAGCGTGTTGTCTGACCCTGCAAGATGGCCAATGTGCAGTAGACCGACTGCTCGGCCTTCTAGCAACATTGTCCTAACCGATGTCGCACTGGGTGTACTTGATGGCGTTTTACCGGCCAGAGACAGGACCTCCTTCATGACCGGTCCGACGTGGTGTATGCCGACATTGTGAGTGAGTAAGTAGATACAACATGTTCTCACTCCGTCTGTGTAGCGCCCGTTGTGCATCGTCTCCAGAACTGTCGGGTCATCTTCATTGTCGTCATGTATGTTGTCATCATTGTCTGCCAGTCCTTCCTCTAGCTGATTCACCTCTTGCGTAAGCTTTGCTGCTTCTTCCTGTGCCGTTTCTAATGCATTTTCGGTTCTTACAGAGGATTGCACTGCTACAGCTGCTTTTCTCTGCCAGTAGGTGCTCATTCGCTTCGCATTGCGCAAATGCTGAGCAAGCTCAATCTGCTTCTCCTTCAAACTCACTAAATCCTTACTCGTGTCATCCAACTTTGCTATCAAATCTTGCGCTTCTTGCTCTCTCTCTCCCTGCTGCTCTTGGTGAATGCGTAGTTGTTCGGCTGCGTCTTCCAGTGCGTGCTCCCGCCGACGTAAACGCTTTGTTATGTTGCGCGTCCTGTTGTAACTAGACAATATTCGTTGCTGCAGGTCATCGCACTGCTTGCTGTCTCCGACATGGTCATTGTGGAGCTCTTGTGTGGCGGCTTGCGTGATGGATGCGGGTTGTTCAACTTGTTGTGAATCTTGCTCTTGACATGACGTAGAGCTGCGGCGGCCAGGCAGTTCAAAATCTTCCTTCAGGAACCGCTCAAGCGTGTCCTTTCCACCTGGTTTTCCGATATTTTTTCGTAAGGCCACACTGAAGAAGGTCTGTGGTTCGACTCACCCGACCGACCGTACATTTTTCAGCCCGACCGTAACTTTTTTTCGGCGGGCTGTCGTGTGACTGACGTACGTGGACTGAACACGTCCACGTCTACGTGCTGTGCAGCGTGAGTCTGCGGACGCAGGCGGCTTCTTTTGGACTTGACTTGTAGTTGTACTGCAGTGCAGTGCAGTGAGTGGTACGACTGCTGCCTTGTGCTGGTAGTAGAGTCTACTCGATACGACCACCGGCGGCAGACTGGCGAGACTTATTATGAAGTGACCGTCCGGTTGAGAGTGATTGCCTCGTTCCAGATTAAGGACGGCCTTCTGTTTTGGGATGAAGGACAGACGAGATTGCACTTTCCTCGTGTATTGGGAACGATATTTCACCTGTACCGGTAAGTTGCTGCTCCATGTGTGCAAGCACAGGAAGCGTCGATGGAAAAAGCCCATGTATTCGTGCACGCCGACACCAAACTAGCAATACATGTACCGGTACATTGTACAATTTGTACTTCGAAGTAGTTCCCGAACTTACTTTCAACTCGCATCGTTCTTCATTTGCTTGATGATTTGGACAGTCAGAGTCACCGCTTGAAGTTATTCTCTTCTCGTTCTAGAGCTACACAATGTTTCAAAGTATTAGCCAGTGATCCCTTTATACAACATGTATGGCATAACACTGCGTAATAATGCCGATGTACTGGGTGTCTAAAGGCAGTACAGTGTATTTACATGTACTAAAAAATATATTTAAAAAAAAATCCGCCCGCCCGCCCGTAAAAAAAATGTCCATGTTAGTCGAACCACACACCTTCTTTAGTTTGGCCTCATGCTTATTATTTAAAAATACCACCACATGGTGCGTTCCAGCTTTGAGAAGGTTTACCGGGTACATGAACTTTGACCTTGACGCGGGGTCAAATGTATGGAGAGAAGGCGGTGTAAACAGTAGCAAAGACTACGGTGAGTGATGGAAAGTAATTGGAATAATTATTGCTCACAATGGGCGCGTTCGATTACACACAAATCGGTCAATTCTAGAATTAGATATTGTTGATGCACAGTTCAATTACACAAATTCCGTCGTTAGAATTGATTTTATCCAATTCCGTCAATTCTGAAGAGAGGGCGGAATTTCTCTAATTCTGGCGCCAGAATTGCACACTCCGTGTGTTCCGGCCTGATCATCATGCATGACTCAAAGTCAAGGAAGAGCCTCCTGGCCGGTGTGGCGGAAGGGCTACAACTGCATGTAGTTGCTACTTTTGTCTTCCCGAAAAGCTAATTGCCACAGTTGCGTTTCCGCTGAGAGCTGAGATATTAGACCAGATCATTTTGGGTGGTCCTTTCGCACACGCGTTCAGCTTTATCGAAGCCCAATATTGTTGCTGACATAGAGCCTTCGCCGGGATGGTACACGAAGCTGGGTCGACGCGCGCGCGAGGGTGTACGTTATATCTTTTTACGACCAATTTTGTTTGTGATGTGCCATGAATAAAATGCGTTGTGAATTCCAGTCGTTCGTTTACATGGCCGGAATTCTTACATTTTGGTCATTCGAGGATTACACCCAACACAACAAAAGCACTCAGCTGGCAGTTCATACACCAATGGAAGTTACAGAGAAATCAAAACTCAACAATGACGTTCAAACTCACCATGCCTAAGGTGCCGGCAGTCTAAGCTAAATTGCTCGTGGAGAAACCTGGGCAGGAGGTGGAGGCACAGGGCTTGCTACATGTCCGACGCAACAGGAATAGATCAGGACGATTTGTTGCGGCGACGAAACGCTTCGCATTGAACTTCGGTGTCCCCCATCGCTAGGGTGGTACTGCGAGACACAGCGTTCTTCCGTTCTGACGGTTATCGAAAGTTTGTGCTCCTGAGGGGAAGACAACGAAAATAGAAGTAGCAAACAGAGGTTTTTCTAAACACTACAATAGTCACCAGCATTCACACGATCGTGTTTTCTGCAACACTGAACTATCGATACATAACGTACCATTGAAATACGAACTGCTCAAGGCCCGGCTGGAGGAACAGAGTGTTGTAGCCGCACAAAGCAAATGTTACCGCAAAGAACATTTAGCGCGCCGTCGTTTCTTCTTGACACACTAGCTGGACGAAGTCTTCTTTCTGTCACACGTGCGTTACCTTTCCGCCACTATGAACTTCATTATGCACTATTTGCCGTAGAACCCTACATTGGGCAGCCATTGTACGGAACATTTTTCCAGACGAAGAAGAAAGCCATTCTTCCCAACAAGAACATGTAAACAACTGAAAGCGCGCGCTGGCGCAACAACAACATTGCCCCATGGACGTGCAAGCAGCTGCATTCCACTACTGGGAACTCCGCTGCGTCGTCCAATCATAACAGAGGTCACGAACTTTGGAGCACCCCCCTAGCCTAGGCCGGGCCCTCAGCGTCATCCGATCCGGTGCATATCCTGAATGTGTAGGGCTCGCCATGCAGGTAACTGGTTAGTCGTCTGGATGTCTCTTGCTCTCCAGACTAGATATCTACGGCTGCAACAGTTACTAGACCTAGCTATCTGTGTCACAGTGTGTGTAGTCTATAGATCTACACGACAGTTGTCAGTAGATGTGGACGTGACTTCCGCAACACCGCAGACCTAATAGAAGTAAAAAGCTAGACTAGCGGTACGTGCGTCTACATAGTATTAGTACATACCCAATGCTGTAGACAGCAAGCTGTTTCGGCCATAAAGGCCTCATCAGTACAGCTACGAGCTAAATAGGACGAGCTACCAGCCATGGTGCAAAGGAGGCACCACAGACATTAAGGTAGCTCGTCGCTCTAGCGCCAGAGTGCTCAAACTACAAAATGTAGCGAGCATTGCGCGATGCAGCAGCACTAGAGCAGCCTACTGAGAGTGCTCAACAAGGCGAAAGCCGAGGAGCGTGATACCCAATGCTGTAGACCAGGGAGTCGTAAAAGCCCGGGAGAGGACACGGCACACATTCCCAGAAAACATCTTTGCCTCGCGCTGCCGGGGAACGCTGCCAGGGAACGGTGTTGCGAGGCAAGGAAATTATTATTTTCGAAAATTGTGATGTCTTCTTGAAATACTAATTGGGACATTCTCCGATTTCTCTTAGAGCACGGAGACGATTGCTCCGTCGAGTCTTCTGATCTCTATTTTCATCCTCATCTTCCAGCTGCCTCACTCATTCTCTCTCAGTTTATCGAAGTTAATTTATTCTGAGGCGATGGAAATGCAAGACAAATCCCTAATTTTTTTTTTTTTTTTTTTTTTTTTTTTTTTTTACGAGAAACCACGAACCTCGAGAACAGAATACTGCATGGTAGAGGTGGTTGCAGACGCAACTGTGGTGGTGAAAACTGGAGCATAATTGTACTTCACTTTTATTTGAGTTGGGGTGAACGAAATGAGATTTGTGGAAAATGACGCCACTTCCCGTGTTAGCCGCTGGTCGTATCATACAGCCCATATTCCATTGCAGGTGATGGGCCAACGTTCGTGTTGAGATCCGCTGAGTTTCCTCGTACTCGTGGAGTTGAATTTGTGGCAGAAATTGCACTGAATTGCAGTCAAATGGTTGTGAATGAAACGAGATTTGTGGAAAATGACGCCACTTCCCGTGTTAGCCGCTGGTCGTAGCATACAGCCCATATTCCATTGCAGGTGATGGGCCAACGTTCGTGTTGAGATCCGCTGAGTTTCCTCGTACTCGTGGAGTTGAATTTGTGGCAGAAATTGCACTGAATTGCAGTCAAATGGTTGTGAATGAAACGAGATTTGTGGAAAATGACGCCACTTCCCGTGTTAACCACTGGTCGTATCATACAGCCCATATTCCATTGCAGGTGATGGGCGAAAGTTCTTGTGGAGATCCGCTGAGCTTCCTCGGCGTACTCGTGGATTTATGAATTTGTGTCAGAAATTGCAGTCGAGTGGACTTCTGTGCGTGTGTTGTGAGTAAATCGCGACGGCTCCCTTCCTTCAGCATCGTCAAAACGCAACATAGAGCATTATTACGCACTCGTTCCATGATTCATGATAATGCCTGGATTCTTTTAAAAACAATCAATGTGTGTTCCCTATCTATCTACATTGTACATGGTTGCAGGTCGTTATTTATAATGGTGTACTAGCTGTGCTAGTACTTGTTAGCAACAATCCGAACTAGCGCACACACTGCACTGCATTGCTTTGTACTGCATTCAAGACTGACGTCATGCGCTTTGTTTTGCTGCGTAATCACAAATGGCA